CTCCATAAAAGGCAGGTGTGTGTTTGAGTCAAATCAATATTTCCTCCTGATGACCATGACCCTCAGGGCTACAAGGACGCTTGAGTCGCGGAGAGTGAAGTCAAGGCGGGGGCAGAGTTGGGAGGCCAAATAGTGGGCTCTTCCTGAGACGTGACTCACTCCGCTATTCTTAATTTTCTCTTTCTGTTTCTCCCCTTAACGCAACAGCGACACGCAGGAGTCGCCTTCCTCTCCCAGTCCGGCTGAGTCAAAATTGGGTTGAGCAACCCCAGGCGGCTGTCGGGGAAGAAGCATTTTCCACCATAACTTTCTGGAGCGCTGCTGCGTTGGGGTCAGCCCTCAGGCTTCCTGACAATGCAGCTTTGTTCCCGTTTCCTCCCCATCCCTGATCCAGCGCTGGGGCGATTGTGCTGCACAGCGGAGAGGCCCCCTGCTCAAACTCCCAGAGGTAAGCTGTCATTATGAGGGAAACAATAGGCCAGGCTGCGCTGGGGAGGCAGCATATTCAAGGACGCCATGTTTTATGTCCCTGCTTCCATGAATAGTCTTCGAGATGAATAGCTTCAAGATTCCTGGGATTTCTGTTTCTTTTTTTGTTTCTTTAAATAACATACAGGGTCCCCCTCCCTCCCCACTTCAGCCTAAATAGTGCCCATTTCAAGGATTCAGACCTGCCTGGGTGTGTGTCACAGAAGGGTGGGCAGGGGGCACTTTGGGAGGGATTCATGTGGCAGGGGTGGGGATGGGTATCTCAGACATCAGCTGGTCCCTCCTCTGGCTCCAGGGAATGAGAAGCCACAAGCTGAAGCTACAACGGCCAGTTTCCAAAATTGGAGGTGATGTGAAAAGCATGATTTTGAGGCCAGGGTAACGAAGGGTAACAGACAGCGGGAGGGAGGAGCAGTCTGCTTGCTTGCTCCTGGGATGACGCCGTGGCGTTTCAGTCACACTTAGGTCTTCTCAGACTGTAACAGCTCACTGGTCTACACGGCTTTGGGGGGCACTGGGTGGGGGGCGGGGAGCAGCACCTGCACAGAATCGGCCGTCATGGCAGGGCACTGGGAACAGTGGTGCTGAGGGGTCCTCCAGGGGATTCTCCGGCACCGAACGTCTGTAAGAGTACATGGGAGAAGAGGAGGCGGCCACCAGATCATGTGTGAGCACATGCGCACATGCAAAAGATGCCTGGGGGTTCCAGAAAAAAACCTGGGGGGAGAGACCTAGCTCACAGAGGGGATGGAGGGAGGAGTCAGTGAAACAGCAATGAGTATTGGTGGTTATGACCTGTTTGGTTTTTTGTTTGTTTTTTATTTAAGTATAGTTGATGTACAATATTATATTAATTTCAGGTGGACAACATGGTGATTTAACATTTTTGTAGATTATACTCCATTTAAAGTTATTATGGAGGGGGAGGTATAGCTCAGTGGCGGAGTGCTGTGCTTAGCATGCACAAGGTCCTGGGTTCAGTCCTGGTACCACCATTAAAGCAATAAATAAGTAAGTAAACCTAATTACTGCCCCCTCAAAAAGACTGTTAAAAATAATAAAATTATTACAAAATATCATCTGTAGTATTTTACCTTATCTTGCCTGTCCCCTCTTCCCCCCCTCTGGTAACCACTACTTTGTTCTCTGTGAGTCTGTTTCTCTTTTGTTATATTCACTAGTTTGCTTTATTTTTTAGATTCTACATATAAGTGACATCATACAGTATTTGTCTTTGTCTGACTTATTTCACTTAGCATAATACCCTCCAAGTCCATCCATGTTGTTGCAAATGCCAACATTTCATTTTTATGGCTGAGTAGTATTCCTGTGTGTGTGTGTGTGTGTGTGTGTGTGTGTGTGTGTGTGTGTGTGTGTGTACGCTATGTCTTCTTTATCCATTAATTTGTTGATGAACACTTAGGTTGCTCCCATATCTTAGCTATTGTAAATAGTGCTGCTGTGAACATTGGGGTGTATGTATCTTTTCAAATAGTATTTTCATTTTCTTTAGATACATACCCAGGAGTGGAATTGGTGGATCATATGGTAGTTCTATTTTCAGTTTTTTGAGGAACCTCCATACTGTTTTCCATAGTAGCTGCACCAATTTACATTCCCATCGACAGCGTACAAAGGTTCGCTCTTCTCCACATCCTCAACAACATTTGTTATTTGTGGTCTTCTGGGCAATAGCCATTCTGACAAGTATGAGGTGATATCTTGTTGTTTTGATTTGCATGTCCCTGGTGATTAGCAATGTTGAGCATCTTTCCATGTGCCCTATTTGGACTCATAGTTGGATGTAGCATAACATGGGGAAAGCACAGGTTACAATAGAATTATAAATGTCAGTGCTGGGAAGGATCTTAGAGATTGGTAAAAAATTCATCATGATATCATAAATGGCAAGAGATCACCTTTTTACGGCTGTGTAGTGTCCCGCTGTATATATACACAGAGGACACTGAGGGTATTGTGTTAAGTGAAGTAAGTCAGATGGAGAAAGACCAATACTATATTATTTCACTTACATGTGGAATACAAAAACCAAATAGAAAAAAAATGAACAAACCAAACAAAAACAAACACATAGATACAGAGAACAGAGTGGTGGTTACCAGGGGGTCAGGCGGGAGACAGGCAAAATAGATAAAGGAGATCAACTGTATGGTGATGGATGGACACTAAATTTTTGGTGGTGAGCACGCTGTAGGGTATAACAAAGTAGACATATAATGTTCTACACATGAAACTTATATGATGTTATAAACCAACATTGCATCAATAAAATAAATAAATAAACCAGAAGAATTGGGGGGCAACATGAGGAGCCTTTGTGGTGATGGCAATGTTCTGTGCCTGGACTGTATCCATGTCAATATCCTGGTTGTGAAATTTTATGACAGTTTTACAAGGCATTGCCATTGGGGGAAGCTGGGTGGAGGGTACATAGGACCCGCTATATCATTTCTTGCAACTGTATGTGAATCTACAATCATCCCAAAGTAAAAAATTTAATTTACAAAAAAAAAGTAAAAGTCCTCATGACACAGCTGATGAAAATGAGGCCCAGAGAGGTTAAGCTACTTGCCCTTGTTGCACAGGCAGTTAACAGGGCAGCCAGGGGCAGACCTAGTCCTCCCAAGTCCCAGCCCATGACACTCGAGGGACTCTTGACATTGGAAAAATGTGTGTAGGGTATTGAGGGCTGTTGCTCTGCCTACAAGAAGGAAGTGTGTTTTGGTTACTTTGAGAAAACTCCAGGGTGCCTTTGGTCAGTGGAACTTGTGGTGAAGGATTCTGTGTGGGAGCACATGTTTCCAAAAGCCCTGCGGGGTGGAGTTCTGCTAGCTCCTAGGACAAAAAGGTGCTGTCTCGACTGTGGCTTGGGAAGGTCAGAAGGAAAAAGGTGTAGCCTCATAGAAACAGAACATAAGCCGCATCTCAGGGTGCTCAGTCTGTTGATCTAACTATACCCACATCCTTGAGGACAGATGTTTTCCTGTTCAATACCAGATCAGCCTACAGGGTCTAGATCCACCCACTAGGGCAATAAGACAGTATTTTGCATCAGTGAGGGGTTTTGTTTTTTTATATCAAAATTCTCTCTTCCACGGTTTCAGGCCATTTACTTTTGATTTGTCCTGAGCAGATCAGGAGCAATGGTACTGCTGTTCTGTATTTCTCTGTGAAATCCGGTCCCCCCTCAGTCTGCCCGAGGGGAAACAGGCCAACTCCTTTATCCACTGGCTCTTCGGAACCTGGGCGAAGTGAGTCTCTGGTTATGGAATGTTCCAGAAGCTGAGAAGAAGATTCAACTTTCTACACCTCATAGGGTTCATTTTCAGTGGTTCGCCTACGTTACAGTATTAAGAGAGTCTGCTAAATTTAGCTCACCCAGAGCCCTCAGGAGGTGTATTCTGAGTTAGCAAAGGTGTATGTTACACTGCTGGGTAATTTGAAACTTAATTTTAAAAAATGCACACATACCTTTAACTTAAAAATACATATATGATATATTTTAAAAAATACAAAATTAAAGCGTAGCTCTTTCCTCTGGACGGGGAAATTTCGATGTAGAGTAAACAAATGGCCATCTGAGCCAGTTTTAGGGTTTCGCAGATGCCCTGTCTCTCTGTTCCTTTCAGCATTCTTGTGAATGAGCCCCAGTTGTCCCTGATACAGTTATATTCTCTTTCTTTCCCTGTCACTCCATTGATGCACCCCTTAGTCCCCGCACCTCCCTTCTCCTTTGCCATCACAAGTGCTCATAATAGAACTGCGCAGAGTCATTCTAGTGACTCCTTCGTCGCGGCCTCACACCAAGGCTGCGTCTGCAAAGTCAGAGCAGTCTGCTGCGAGAGGCAGGTGCTGCATGCGGAGACCCACTCTTCGGAGTCATCATTTGATTGTGCATTGAGCCAGCAGGGCTTAGGGGGAGAATGAACCTTCACCGGGTTTCTGGTCCAGCTCCATCCCCCACCCAGTGCAGCCCGTGACACTCTGGGATCCACTCACATACAAAGCATTCTCTCGGGCCTGTCTATTTACATTCCAAGACTCCTGCCTAATCTCCCTAGCAAAAGAGTCAATCTGAAGAATGTCTATGTCTTCCCCCAAAACTCCCGTAAAAAATCTTGCTCTAAAGGAAGTTCCAGACACCAATGGCTACAACACGCAGGGTGAGATGAAGCCAGCAAGACGAAATGTAATAGAGTTTGGGGAAGTCTCCAGAGATTTAAAACAACGAAAACAACAGCTCTGATAAAGGCATCATGAAAAGATTGAGGGTCAAGTGTTGTGATGAAGGCAGATGGGGTGGTACCTGCCCAGGGTCCCACAGCAAGTTGTAAGAGATCTCACAACCACCCTGTGTCTTTCTAAAGAGCAGGATTGTCAGCAGCAGGGCACAGTTATGTCACTGATCAAGTTCCACAAGGCTGGGATGACCCAATGGACATGACCCCATGGCCATTCCCTGCTCTAGGCTAATCCAGGGAGATAGCTCACGGCTTGGGAGAGGGACAGATTTATGGATCTTTTACCTCTGAACTCCTTTCCTGATCCTGAACTGAGATCTTGTCCTCTACACAGTTTCTTTGGTCAAAAATACATCAACCAGTAGCAGGTAGATGGAATGACTCTCTGTTAGAGAAAGAAGATTTCAACTGCCAGAATAAGGAATCCAAAAGATGTGGACGAAGCACCAAGACAAGAATGATGACATTTTTTTTGTCTCTTATTTGGAGGGAAAAAAAGTGAACCTCATTGGAAGGTTAACAAATCTCTCACATTTATTTTGTTTTCATTCTAGTTTTCTCAATTTGTCCCCACTCCAATTCCTCCATGAAGTCTTTATCTTCCAATTAAAATGGAATTGTAGCAGCCTGCTCTGAGAACCTGGGGTACTTCTGTGTACTTTATAATGCTTTACTATGTCAGCCTGCTCCGCCAAAGTGGAAGCTTCTGTGTCACTGTCTCAAGAGGGTTTAGCCATTAGAAGACCAGTCAGTGGGTGATACAGACAAGTTATTCATGAAACTTCCTGGAGACGAGTAGGCAAGTCTTCCTCACTGTCCTGCCCTTTCCGTTTTACACTTGGCGCTTTGACCACTGCTAACGCCTGTCCTGTGGTCCAGAAAGTGGAACCCACTGAGGTTGTGTAGGAGGAGGGCTTTGTTGAACAAGAGATGTACATAACAAAACCTCAAGTGAACTATCTAGAAAGAAGCATATGCTGGGGAAGAAGACCCAATGAAGAGTACCAGGAAGTTTTTTGGGATTTCTCGTATTTTTTCAGGATGCGGCAGAGTTTTAGAACTATGAGGCATCAGTCCTAGGTTTCCCTCTACATGACTTACCCTTTTTCCAGAGGCCACCCTGTCTCCTTTAGTACATCTACTATTCGAATGGGGACCAATGTTCTTGTCCTTACCTATTTATTCAAGGTTAACAGATTGGTCTACACCACTGTCATTAACACCATCAACTCTGTAACTACCACTGTGATCACCACCACCCATAAATGTCTGGTGCCTCACAGTTTACAACGTGTCTGCATGTTCACGCTCATTCCGTGCTAACAGCAGCCCTCCGAGAACAGGTCTGCAGCTGGGGTCGTCAGCACTGAAATCACTGCCTTTTCCTTGAGCCTTGAAGTGGGTGTTTTCATAGTATAAGAGCAGAAACAAGGTCATAAAAAGTACTGTTGTCTAACCTGGGAGAGAAGAACCCTTTAGATACTTGTGTCTTTGAGGCCATTTTGCTGGAGTCATCTATTTGACTCGTCTCCTGGTTTTTTACTGCAAAGATAATGATGCTAACAAACAAACAAACAGGACATTGGTTAAGAAGGATTATAATGAAAAGAATAATTTTCCAAACTGTCCTTTTATAAAACAAGACTAAGACCCACTGGGTCAAGTCACGTGTGGAATGGTAACATGTAATAATAAAAATCATGCAGAATAACAATGATATTACAAACAAATGCTCAGTTCTTTATAAAGTGTCTTTATCTAAGTTAGCCTCACGGGTAGCTTTCAAATTATTAAAATAATCATTATTATCTCCATTTTACAGATGAAAAAGGATCTCGGTTAAATAACCCCCGTATCTTGGTGTCAGAAACAGACCAAAATGCACGTCACCTAGCTCCTGGACCACCGCTCCTCCTTACCCTGGGCTGCCACCATGCAGTTCTGCATCGGAGGCCGGGCTGTCCCAGAAACCCTCTGCGAGAGAAGCCACGGAACAGCAGACTTCTTCTGACTGGCACCTCCCATTTATAGAACTCAAATTGAAGACATTGTAAAACAGTAAGCTTATATTTTATGCTCTAATTTATTAACAAACAATTTGATATTAACATACAAAATGTAGATTTGATATACTAGGGTGTTTTGAAAGGTTCACGGGATCTTTGTGGAATACAGAGACCGATGGGTTGTCATTTAAGAACGGGCTTTGGTTTGCCCGGTGTCTGTAAGGCCCTTTTCCATGGTTCTTTCAGGCCTCCCTCTCACGTCTCCTTCTGTGGGAGTGGAAATCACCTGGTGCTAGGGTTCGGTCAAGGTCTAGTTAGGTGTTTTCCCGCCCAGGCTGCACCTTAAATCGCCCGGAAGCTTTTGCTCCCCTCCCCAGGACAACTGCATCCAAGCCGCAGGGAATAGAGCCCAGGCGTCTTTTAGGGACTCCCCAAATGTTTCTTTGCTAAAGTAAAGGTTGAAGATAATAGTTTTACTTTATTATTTAAAATATTATCACTTCGATTAGCATCATTATTCCTGCCTGTTTACAAGCCAGTTTGACTCTGTAAGAGTGTGCGGCAACCGGAGTGTCACCCTCTGGGCCCCTCTGCCCTTTTTGGCCCTGCTTTCCTGGGTTTGGGGGGACATTGTGGTAGTGGCAGAACAAGAAGCGGACAAGGGCCAAGCCTCCTCTAAGCCAATCTTTCTTTCCACGGTAAAGAAATGGTACTTGTTGGTTAAATAAGTTGGAAATGGAAAATCTCAGCCTAGTTTTTCATTCTCTTCTGTCTGCTTGTGTACAAATTACAATCTGAAGTATTTAAGTTACATCATCAATCAAAAGGCTAATTGAAAAAAAATCTCCTCCTTCCCCCTCCCCTGAAAGGCTACCATATATGCAACTTTAAGTGTACGTTCCATGTATCCCTAAGTATGCTTACATTAGAGCTGTATTATTCTTAGCTGACTCCGGTATAGAGAAGGGCACGGCCTTGTTCAGGCTTCAAAGAAGTCTGTGTCAGGAAGGGCCCTAACCCCAAGCTAGGGACAGAGTTTCAGGAGTTCTTTGTTTCTGACATGTTGTCTATGCAGGACAAGTAGCTCCTCAAAAAGAGAGACTGGGCCTGCTAAGCCTATGAGGGACCCTCTGAGTTTGGGGGAGGTGCCCAGAGAGGAGCCAGGTCGGTCCTGGGACAAAGGGAGGCTCCCCTCAAAGGAAGGAAACATCTTTGGAAAAGAGAATTCCAACCGCTCACTTGGAAGGCTGGGTGAGATATGAGGGGTCATTCCTGCTAGAATGAGACTCCGGCGCATTTGTCCATACGGAGTCTAACCGCCGGCCCCTTCCCTTCCCACAGGTGGGTGACTGTGGGCACCGCCCAAAGCTCCTGTTCATCGGGAGCACCTCCTCCTGCCTCTGTCTTTTGCAAGGCCAGGCCTGAGCAAGACCGTGGGGCAGCTGTCATCCGCGTTCAACTTTCACACAAATACCAAGCCGGCCCATCCCTGATGCAAGCTTGCAAGTTCTGATCTTTTTTCGGCTGGTGTTAAGAATCGCCGTGGGTGTGAGCTGAGGGAGGGGTGTGGTGGGTGCTACAGCGAAGGCTGCCAAGGCGTCTGAGCTCCCAGGCGTGCAGCTGGCTTGTCCTCAATCCCAGAGGCACCGCTTCTTTTTTATAATGAGTTATTTGGGGGCCCACTTGGCCTTATGCCTCCGTGGATATGGCAGGACTCAGCTTGAGATGAATAGTCCGGAACTCACCGGCACTTGATGTCCTGTGGTCAGGCATTCTGCTTCCATCAGGGCTCAGTACCACACCTGGACTTACTTTTTCCAAAAGTCATGTAATTCATCTACTGCAAATTGCATGGCCTTGATCCACGTGACTCTCCTTCTAGGGCTTTCTACACATTCCACACGACACCTTTCTGTACCTCTGGTGCCTCTGACACCATTGGGGCTGCTGGATCACACGGTCCAAGTGGCAGGCATACTCGCATTGTTTCCTGGACCTGCCGCCGAGCATCTGTCTGCTCTGAGCCTCACTCGAATCTGACAGCCTTTCATGTCCTCCATTCCTAGGAGTGGAATATGCTGCCTCCAGAACCCAGAAAGCCCCACTGGGGGTCAGGCTTCCTTTTTGTAGTAGGAGGCCTGTGACGTCGGAGGCCTGTGATGTCGGAGGCCTGTGATGCAATGAGTTGCATTTCATTTTGAAGGGGATGTCCCAGCATCCTCCTAACCACTAGACCTTCAAAAATTAGTCAGAAGCGACAGGCCCCCAAATCTACGTAGGGTTTATTTTCCACCCTCTGGAGCTCACATGTGCCACCCACCTGCTGTACGTCAGGCCCGATGAACACAGCGTCATCAATACAGTGGGTCAATGCGATGTCCTAGAGAAGGTCCGGACAGTCCAGCTCTCTTTGGACTTTGTTAGGACAGAAGGAGCAACACGTAAACAGCTTCTGACCCTCTTTTTCAACTGAGATAAAAATCAATGGTGATACACCATGAACCTGAGGCCATGTGAGCCTGTTCTGGCAAAAATACTTAATCTAGAAGGAACTGCCATCAGGCTACTGATGTGAGCTCGTAATCATCTCCAGTCACCCTCCAGGGTTCATCTCGCTTTGTAGCGGCCAGACTGCTGACTCAGATGGAGATAAGATAGGAACCACTGCTCCTGAACCCTCTGGACCCTTAAGGATGACCCTAATCTCTGCCATCCCCGCAGTCCCCCTGGAATGTAACAGTGGCTTGGTTTTCTTTTGTTTGTGTGTTTTATTTGCCATCTTGTGCAGGGGCGGTTTCAGAAGCTTCCACTTGGCCTTCTCCACCACGATAGCTCTTACCCTATAAGCTAAGGACCCAACGTGGGAGTCGGACCCGGTATGTCCATCCTAATTATACATTCAAGGGCCAAGGAAGTGACAGTGGGTGGGTCTGCACAGCGGGGGACCTTATGAGCAGAACTTTGGCTGAAACTCCATTGACGAGCCGGCCTCGGGTGCCCTCCGGGAAGGCCGTGCGTGTACTTCAGGTCTCTAGACAGCAGCGTCAGTTCAGACCTGGTGCCCACCATGCAGCTACCCAAACAAATAGCTGGAGGTCCTTTGGGGAAAGGACTAGAGAAATAGCCTGTTCACCTGTCACGGTGTTGCAGGACCCTCCTGATTGTTGCCTGGAGATCCAGCCACTTCATCAGACAGTGTGTTCCAGGTCTGAAAACCAACTCATCCCTAGGGGCTGTGCAAGGCTGGTGTCTTGGTATCAGGCTGACCACCCTCCTCTCATACCCAATCTCCCAGTCACCCATGCTAATTTTTCTGCCCATACAAGCTGAGTAGTACCCTGGTCAGCTTCCCATCTCTCTTCTCCTAGGAACCCTAGGTCCTATTAACTGTTGCCACAACTCTCTCTGTGGATTAGGCCTTCTTGGCTGCCACTCTGACCACACTAGTCTTTTTAATAATTACAAACACTTGACTTTGGCAGTTAAATGCTGTCTCCTGGCCTTTATTATTTCAGGGTCCTATCATCCCTATTGCTATGAGTAAGCCAAGGTCTGTAACAGTTGCTGCTACCATCAGCCCTTGGCCTTCAGAGGAGAGCCCCTATTTCACTCTCCCCTAGCACATCCCAATGGCTGTGTTGGATGGTGTGCCCTTGGGGCATTCCTGTGGACCGTAAGCATTTGGTGGATCACCTAGCTGAAGCTACTATGCTCACTGCCACATGACCAGCCAACCCCATGGCCCTTGGAGCCCTCTCCCTACCATCTACCACTGCAATTCTGGCACTTCAGCTTTTCTCAGTGTGGACCACCCCTTTTTTTTAATGTTTCTAGGAGCCGTCTTAGTAGCAAGTTCACACTATCTCCTGGGATCCTTGCCAGGTGTTAAGCCTTGTATCTCAGGAGGCTTCCCCCAGTCGCACAGACCCTTCCATACCTATGTATTTGTTTCATCTCCCTTGATCAGAACCTCAGAACTTAATTACATATGTGGTCCCTCGGCTTCTGCCAGCACATTCTGCTCAGTTCTTCCAGCTCCTTTGAGGTGTAGGTGCCCTCCTTCCTCACACGGCCTGGTACTTTTCCAGATGTGCCATGCTGTGACTCAAATCCAGAGGCCACGAGAGAGGTCCTGTGAAGGACAAGTCAACCCAAATGTCCCCATGCAATGTGCTAGGGTCTCAGGTCTTTCCAGTCAGAGCCCTGAACTTGGCAGAGCAGATCTACCTTGACTGGGCATTTAAGTTGAGTCACTCTTCAGCCATGGGTTTCATCCTTGGTTTCCCCATTCTTCCTCTGCATGGCATGAGGGTTTCTTGGTAAGTGTCAAAGAGGCGCTCTGGCTTCCACATCTGGCTTTCAACTGCCTGTGACTCTTCCTCATCCCTTCTTCGTCTTCCTGCAGGGCACCAGTGGTGCTTGCTAGGAGCCGTCCACCACCATCACCCTTCCCTCCACACACTGCAAACACCCAGCGTATCTGCACAGGCTAGTGCCTGCCACCAGTACACCCTCCTGATTCACAGAAGTTCAAGTTTTAACAACTGAGTAACTGCCTCGTGCAGGGGGCTGCCTGTGCTCCACTCTCCACCAGTGACAGGGACCCACTTGCCAGCTGGGCCATGAGGGGTCCAGCCAGTGAAATCCCATTTCACTCCTTGCTTTTTTGGCAAACGAACTCACAGGCTGGGTTCTTTGGAAGACGTCAAGATGAAGTTCAGGGGGCAGATTTTTTTAGCTGTCAACTGTGAATGGATGGGAGGCAGAAGCGGAGCGGGACAGGGGAAGCAGTCAACCTGCAAGGCAGATCCGACAGGGGCCAGGCCGACCTGGTGGGGAGACCTGGAGCGAGGGTTGCCCACCCTGGGCTGAAATGCTGGGCCTTTTTACCCCTTTGCGCTCAGTCACCCCCGAGACGGGATGACTCCAATGAGTTGGCTTTTGGCCGCTGGGGCAGCCTTGAAGGAGATGACAGTGAGGGGGTGCCTGCTGGGCAACCACACCCCCCTCAGCTGCTCCTTCCTCGGCAGGAGGAGTCTGGGAGGTGTATCG